ACTAGAGTATTTTACTCATCCTTGAGTAAGTATTTCAAAATACGCATTCGTACTCAAGCGTTTCAGTAAGTATATGAAAACTACTCAGTCGTATACTTACTCTAAATACCATGAGTACGGCGTTTAGTAATACTTTACTAAACACACCCAAAGTACTACTATGCACCCATGGGTGCCCAAATATGCCACGAATCCGCGCCCTCGACAGACCAAAAACACCGTCTGCAGGAAAAAACAAGGGCAAAAGGTTCTGAGGCTCGAACCCCTCTCTGCCCTGTTCTACAAATCCACTCAAGCGCAGATTGCCCCTTCTACCGGCGGCGAGTTGATTTCATTCAAAGCAATTCTGGTGCTTTTGGATGCTCTGCTTTGTTTGGCACGAAACCGGCTAAAAAGCCTAACGCTAACGCTAATCCGTACCCGAAACCCACCCGTAGGTGCTAGGTTGGCGCTGGGTGGCTCGGTTCTACATGTAGGCTAGTGTGCCAGGATTTGCGCTACTCCGTATATAATAAAGTAGGTTGGTGTTGACTAGGAAACTCTAGGTTGTTGCTGCTTGAATAGGTGCTAGATTGGCGTTGATGGGTAAATCTAGGCTTGGCATTGCTTGGATAGGTGCTAGGTTGGTCCTGATGTGGATAGGTGCTAGGTTGGTAGGCCTTGGAGTAGGCCTAGGTCGCTCTTGGGTGGGAAACGGTGCTCGTGCAGGGCTGTATTGGCCGGAGTTCCAAGTTGTGCGTGCACGCCTTTTCATCAAATATTTTTCAACCTTTTTTGGGTAAGTTAGCCTGTGGCCACGGGAATCGACCGCGTCAAGTACGGACAGAAGGTACTGGGTAGAGAGATCGGAGCGGTTTTTCAATGTGAAGACAACAAAAACAACAACAACATCGACACAACAGAGCAGCTGCGTTTTTGAGATCAACCCTTACTGTCGGAAAAGGAAAAACACTGGCTTTGACTCGACAGACCACCAGCTGGCGGTTGGTTCCTTTCGAACCACCACACACGACAGACACACTCAGCGGCTTATACCGTACGATCGAGGGATGCACACCCATGCCTACCTCCTCTGTTTGGAGCAGCACCAAATCATCAGGACACAAAAAGCAAAAAGGCAACGCCGGTTGCGTACTTGTAAAGGAGAGCATGCAGCAGCAGCGATACCATAATTCTACTACTACATTCCGTGCCCCTTTTTTCCCCTGAGAAAGGGCTTCCTCTTTGCCTCACTTCACCAAATGCTCTCCACATGATTATCCAGACTCGCTGGTGGATAAAGATTGTCGAATGGTGGATGGTGTATTCGAGATCAGCAGAGAGGCGACACACACGTCCAACATGTGATCCGAATCATCAAGATACATATTGCGACACCTCCCTACACACCAACGCTCGAACACACGGGTGCACGGGTGCGGTGCAAACAAACGTGCAATTGGTGCCGCGCGCGCGCAACAACGCCTGCACAGCGGCCTCAAACCCAAATCCCAAATCCCAGCCCAAACATTTCGGCGGGGATTTGGCCCTCCAAATCGCAGGGTGCAGTGCGATTCCGGGGTATCTGCGATTTGAAATCCCAGTTTTTCGGCAAAGAACAGCACCATAAGGAATGGTATGTCCTGTCGGCCCCGCTACAAGCCCAAATCTCAGGAACCGCAGACCTTCCGTAAGAATTGGTCTGACCAGGTATGCTGTACCGCCTGTGTACTGACTGCTTTACTGCACAACAAGCGTGGTTACTGACGACAGGCCAACACAAAGTTAACCTGCGAGGTCTATTTACAAGCTCTGTCAATTGTCTCTTAAGGTCTGACCATATTTTGAACCGTAGCTCCACTCAAGGGATGTGTCACACACCCGTGCCCAACCCCTTAGCCAAACCCGAACGCTAACCCTAACCCTTACCCACGGCGAACGAACGGCCTCGCGGCCGAAAGTTGGGCGAGAACATTGCGCCGCGTTCTCGAAATGTGGAGCATAGAGAGGGCGTCGGAGAGTATGAGACTGTTCCACCAATCAAACAGCGAAAAATCCTAAGATTGGAAGAGCCACTAAACAACACCTCAACTTGCTAGCCCCGCCTCCGCCCCTTCCAGCTCAGTAACCCCGGGTGGGAGGGCATGAGAGTTCCCGGCTCAAGTAGCCTACTCCTACACGAATGTGATCCTTATGTGATGGAACAGGGCAGGGTGACACCATTTTAGACGTTCGAATCGTCTCGTGCAATCTGTGGACACTCTCATCAACTAGGTTGATCTACCCGTTCGCATTTGCAAGCACCACGATCTCTCCGACAAACTGAATTGCGGATGTTGATGCTCTACATGGCCAATCAGCAGGCTCAGATTGTTTTTTTTTTTTGCTGTGAACCCCGTCACTCCTGCGCAGCGGGCAGAATCGTTTTCTCTCGAGAATGGTAGCGGGAGCAGTTTACCGCGGTCGTGGGGAAACCTGAAGGACACCGTGTCGGACGCGGCCCAGTCTGCGTGGCGGGAGCAACTACTGCAGCTCAAGCTCAGCCGCTTTGCTGGGGTACCGATGGTCAGTGGAGCTAAATGGTACAGAAACGCATGTAGTTGTTTTTCCTGCCGTGATAATCTGTTAGAACCGTTGACCGCGCGAGCAGAGAATGGAACGTAGAGATGGGCCGGGTTTGGATTATGTTCCGGCCGGTCAATGAACGTTGTTTGTATGACGACATCCTCACCTACACCCTCTCGCACCCGCCTTATCCTGCCGAACTGTGAATGTCAAGACGGTACTTGTCAGACAAGGCACAACCGGCACCACCAACGGCTGCCGCGTTGTCGCTGCCCCTCGAGACTCGAGCGCGAGGCTCACGGCTCTTGCTGTGGTCGAGGGGACTTGCGCAAATATTTCCGTCTCAGAGGCATGCTCACTGCCCATGGTCGTGGTGGACTCGAGCGAAGGCGTCCCACGGAGCGGTTGGCGTGCTGAGGGCAGCACACCAACCGCCAGCCTCAAAACCCATCCTCCGCAGGCCGTGGAACAGCAGCAACAGCAATGGCAGCTCGGCAAGAACAACACAGTTTCAAAACATCGAGCAGGGGACGCAAAGGAGACGGCTGTCGAGGAGCCCCTGGCGGGGAAGGACGAGGTTTACCAAGCTTGTACAAATGCCGCCAATTCGGCCATGGTCAACGGGAGCACCGACAGCTCAAGCGACGATACCGGAAGAAGGGCGTCGCCGCCTTTAGCGCAACCCCCGTCGGCCATGCCGCCCGTGCGTGGCTTTCATCTGGTCGACCTGCACACGGTTGTTCGCAACTCTGTAGAGTGGAGCTATTGCCTTCCGCAGGTGTGTTCGGGGGGCTGGGGAGCCAGAACAGGAGATACACGGAAGAACACAGATACGCCATTTCACAGTATCGATATTACGTTTGTTCTTTCCGCCTCCAGGTAGAGGCCATCATCAACGAGAGTTTCCCAGCCGGCACCCTAAAATATAGTACAAGTGCCGTCGACCCCCTGGTGCTTGACCAGACATCATGTTCACGTGTGGAGGAAATGGGCTGTGGCTATCAGAAACGCAGCGATAGAAGTGCGAAATTGCTCTAAGCAATTATGCACGACGCGAACTTGGATATATGTTTTGGCAGAATGGCGTTACCTCTGAGGTAACCATGGCATATTTCACCACGCAACGCACACACGTTTCGCTCGATTTACTCCTTGATGTTTAGGTCGAACCATGCTATCGAGTCAGCAGCAACCGCGATAGTGTGTTGCTAGGGCTTGTTCATGCCCTTGGAGGCCGCCTGACGTGCTCATCGGCGCACGATATCAAGGCCGGCTTCGGCGCCGCTCGTAGGGCCAGCCCCACCCCTGCCCCTCCCCCTCGACTGCTGGATCGACATGTCTGTCGCTCGCCCGTCCTGCTTCGAGCGTCGGTAGCCGCCGGGGTTCAAATGTACGAGGTGAGGATTCGATCAATACTGAAGCCCTGCATCTAAACGCGAAACCACTCGCCTAACGTTTGGGTTCTCAGAGGTTTCCCCGTATAATAACGTTGTTTTTGTTTGTCTTCTCGGGGTGTGTGTTGGGGCTGCTTACCGGCGACGATCATGGAAATTTGTATGGCTGCTCCGCCAGGAACCGCGGGGTCCTACTCGGAGACCACGCGGGGTATGTCGCTGGAATTCCCTCATGGAATGCACATGGTCTCGTTGTTGTCTCGTCGCGAACAGGTGGACTCCGTCGACGAGTGGCACAGAATAAATGCCACGAGGCGCAAGCTAGGTGCCACCCCTAACGTCTGGTCGAGGAGCGGTACCTCCCGTGACCCCACGCAGACAATCCCAAGGCATTCGAGGGCAACAGGATTGGGCCCGGCCAGCGTGATGGTCAGGCTAGCCATGCCATTGCAACCGAGGAGGCAGTTCCCAGAAAATCCATCGGCGACACCCACGGACGCGGATTTTTCGGAGGCTCTTGAAGCCAAATATGGCGCGAGCTCAGACGACGTCGTCGAACTTGCACAAGCCGCAGCGGCGGCGGCGACAGCAGCAGCAGCAGCAGCAACAGCAGCAGCCACCGTCGGCCCCGAACTTGGTGCAGGTACGGCCGCGTCCAGGTCGTGCGGCAGTATGAGGATCTTGCCAATCGTTGGCTTCTCGATCGATGTGGGATCGGCCTGCTGGAACGATGCGGTTAGGGGGAGCTCCGATCCATCGTCAGGGCAACAGCCTCCGGGCAACTCCTACACCTCTGCCAGCTCGGTGCCGGGGGCGGTTGTTTCGTCCGGTCGTCTTGCTGAGAGCATTGATGCCGCAGTAGCTTTCGCTGTGAAGATGGCACGCATCGCGGCCGAGGCTGCTGCTGCTGCTGCTGCTGCTTGCGCAACGGCGCCAGTCTCCAAAGTAGACGGCGTTGCCGACACAGCTGCAAATCAACAAGACGAAGAATCCGTGAGAGTCTTGAACAGCAGCGATAGCACAGCAGGGCCAGCAAAGATGGCGGCTCCAAACCATTCTGCCATGCTTCCCCCTCCGTTTAGCTTCCGCCGGTTGCATGTGACCGGTCTAGGAGAAGGGGGTGCACGCGGTGGGCCCTTAGCCGCATTGAAGGCCGCGTTGTCTCGGCACCTTCCCATCGCGGCAGCGGTGAGCGCGACGTTGGGTACTACCCACGGAGACGGGAGTGCGAGTGCCTCGCCCTCGGTCGCCCGCGCTTGTGGCCCGATCGTGGTATCTGCTGATGCCACAGAACACCTGGTAGCGAGTGGAGTGTGGTCGACGGTTGCTTCCATCATCGGGCGGAAGACTGTGCCGCCCGCTGCGGTCGATGAGGACGATCCTGCGGCTGCCCGATCGCCGGCAGCAACGGACACAGACCACGGTAGTAGCAGCAGCAGTTTGGCCGGCGGTACCAATGGGAAAGCTCCTGCGCGCGAGCAAGGTGTAGTCGACGCTGGTGACACCTGCGGTGGTAAAGGCAGTGATGACGGTGGCGGCGTCATGTACTATGTTGATGATGGCTGCTACGGTTCCCTTAGTGGAGCTCTTCTCCGCGGAACTCAGATGCGGCCATCGGCGCTACGCGTCCGCCCCGCTGTTCTCATTGACGATCACAATTCTGCGATGTCGCCCACCTCGTCCAATGCTGCTAGTGAGACCCAAGTCCATTGCCAAACCGACCACGGACCTTCCACATCAGATGCCCTGGCACATTGCAGGACGGCTTGCAGAAACGAGCTTCCTTGTACGGTGTGGGGCCCTACTTGCGACGGGTTAGATTGCGTCTGTCGGATGACCCAGCTCCCTGACGACATGGAACCTGGGCGAGACTGGCTGTTTTTCCCTGATGTCGGCATCCGAGGTGGAGCGGACGTGACCGGCTTCAATGGTCTGAAGCCGCTTGAAACGTTCTACTTCGTCCGCCCGCGAGGGGATGCGGCTACCCCGCTGGTCCCTCTGGGTTCGGCAAGTGGCGTTTCGTAGCAAAGTGCCAGGTATTGATGTTGATGGCTGTGTGCGGCCGTGCGGCTCGATGCAACTTGTCGTCGTTAGTTCCGCACCACGACCTCTTTGCTATCTACGAAATTTGCAGGTTCGGTTGAGTGTGCGGTGACTTAGTTGGTGACAACGTGCCGTACATACGCACCCTGAACGTCCTGTTTTCTTGGGAATGACCAGTACAGGGCAATCCAGCGCGTTGGGTGCAGACGGCGAACAAATACTTTCCGAATAAACTATTTGGTTTGGGCAGCACCCATATGGTGTGCCCTCATGTTGAAGTATTTCCGCATGGGGCGCACCCGCATGGTGTGCCCACACGTGTGATTACCATGCAATGGTCTGCTTCAGGTGTGAGCCATTTGGGGGTGTATCACGGGGTGGGGATAGGGCGGTACGGTGTTCCCTGTTGGTGACGCACGATATTTTTTTTCGTCGGCACTGAGCTTGACAGCGTAGTTGCATGTCCGAAAGCAGTGACGTGTGCATGGAACCTGGGACAGCAGTGTTTTGCGGAGCGGGGGCGGGGAGCAGCCTGTAGACAAGTCGTTCGCTCGCTCTGGCGGGGGAGGGTACCGTGGTTTGTATCCTATGTTGTGCGTGTCGGTACATATTTATCTCAACCTCCTTGAGATAGCTATCGGATGATTGCGGTTTTGAACATGGAAAGTCATCAATATTTTGCGTGCGGTTTCAACCTATTTTATCGTTTTTGTGCGTGAAGTTTCTACCTCTTTTCATCATTCTGTTACATCGGGTATCCGATTTGCGTTCTGTGTTCCCCAGTCGGTCTTCGTTGTGGAGAGGTGGCAGTATGTCCATGCAGGAGGAATTTCGATTTTTTTTTTTGTGTCTAGGGCCGCTTCTTCTCTGAAAGTTTGCGCCGAATTCGCGCTCACCGCCACAAGCATGCGGGGACGCAGACTCCACAGAATCAGAGATTTTGCCACGACCTCCACATGAGGAAGCCAGTCACGAATATGTTGTCTTGTACGAGAAGGGAATGCTTATGCCCATCAAGCACAGTCGTTGTCGCACCTCTTTTCGAAAAAGAGAAAAACAGCCTAGAAGGATATAGGCTTCCCTCGTGAGAAGGAGATCAGGGAGCTGTCAGTCTTGATGAGATTTGGCAAGGAGAAGTTTTGGGAAGACACAGTGGCACCGAAGGGTGAGGGTAGGGACTTTCGAAGAACCTCCCACTCCCCATCTCCGCAGGTGGCTTTGGAGAAGTCCTTTCCATAGCAGTGTTTCTTGCGGTTCAACGATCAGCAAGGTCCTCCGCTCAGGATGCATCTTGTCCTACTTATTTACGTGCACCAATCGTTGCAACAAATCTAAACATGTCCTCCACACAAATCCGCATTATGCGTCAGAAGTTCACCTGTGCTCGAGAAATATATCGGCGAGTTGAAGGTATTGAGTGACCTACGTGGAAACAAGTGTTGAACGTATCCGACTCTTGCGCAGCATCGTCAACCGTCTCTGGATTAGGTGCTTGCGTGTTGAAAAAGCACGAGGTCACCAAACAATTTCTACACACTCCCAGTCCGCACAACACCTTGCAACTTTGATCTCTCTTAACGGACGGCTGTGCAAATGCAAAAAAAAACTGTGAGAAAACATCGAAACTGCGCCCCTCCTGGAAAGCGGAGAGGCTTCATCCTCTACGTGGCGCAGAAAATATCCGACCTACCCATTGTTGCTGCACATACGCCCCAGGCATAGCATCTCGCCCGTAAATGCACCCCATATGTCCGTAGTGCGAAACGAATATTAGTCCTAGTTCGTATGACAAGCGTTTACAATCTGAAAAACTCTGCACCATTCTACGATTTTACGAAGTGCCCGTCCGCCCTTTACAAGACTTGACACAACCGTCACCGAATAAATATCAGTAAATTCGAAAACGCATACGACGCTCAATGTGAAGACAATCTGTTCGTCTGAACACCACTCTCTGCACACACACTTGCGCAATATATTCCGAATAGCCACGTACATGTGCACAGCAACAAAAAAAAAACGCCTTCCTTGAATGTACGATGACAACGCGATGAGATACACATTCGACACAACATAACAGAAACACAACGTCTCAAATTTCCAAAGGTTCACACACACGCCGTGTAAAACAAGCAACGCTGATACTGACGGAGGGGGGTACTAGCTCTTCGCTTCGTACGTGCCTCCGAAACTGTCACAGGAGAGCGGGGAACGGAAAGCGGGCAAATGGTGCTGCAAGAGACCAGTGTCCCGGAACTCACATAATACTTTGATTTAGGACGCAGACAGCTGAAAAAATCTCTGTGCCTGGATCGGTGGACTATCTGTAGCTATAAACCACTATATCGGGTTGAAATGACCCTCGCGAACACGAACAAACAGACCTTCGCTGCAGTGAGGCTCTAGATGTAAAATATTTGTATGACTAGTTTGCCAGACACCGCAGTGGTAAAACGCCAGAATGCTAGATACCTCTGGGCACTGCGAAGCACGTACCGCACATTATTCATTCCTATCTATCTGAGGGTACACAAAAATACACAGACAGCACACTTTCCCCATCACAACAAAACACGCGACCGGCTGGCGAGCAACACCACCAAGGACGCCAAGTAGCAGTTCGAGGACGACCACTCGCCTACGAAGCCCCCTCGCCTGTTGCTGCGGCAGGTGCGGTAGCGGCGGGTGCTAGTCAACCGGCATCGTTGACGAAGGAACCGCCATCTGTGCGACACCGCGGGCCAAATGGTCCACGAACTTGGCCGAAGCATTTTCCTCCATCTCGACAAAATCGGGCGTCGGGGTCCTGGGTCGTGCAAAAAAAAAAGAACATCCGGCAAACGCAGAGGCAGCAGCAGGTCCGCTTAGGCCAGAATGACTTACTAAGCAGGTAAGTAGATGGATGGGTGAATTCCAACTCGATGAAACCAACACACCCGCCGACACCGCGAGAGCGAAAATTGCAGAAGCGTGCGGGTCGTGGTCGTGGGAACAGATTATCACAGGGCGAACGAACGAAGCTGGATCTAACCCAACCTAGCCAGAAAAGACGAAACAGGCAAGTATTCCTCGAAGTCGAAGGTACTTTTCTGACCAAAATGCTTGGAAGGAGAATGCTAATGGACAGCAGTCCATGCCTCCGAGAATTCTCGACCCGCAAACGCAAAAACGCACACGAACACTTGCTCAATAACACCAAACGGTTGGCCCCATTCTTTTCCGAGCGTCGTTTGAAAAGGGGGTGAACCCATCGCGCATGCGCACCACACCCCGCCATCCGAACACTGCACAAACCTGCAGACTTCGTCAGCCTGAGAAACCGCGCATGGCAGAAATTCCAAGGCTCTACCCCGTGGTTGCGAAGCACCTTCACCATTTCCTGAGTGGGCTCCTTTACTCCGAGGATAGACAGCTGCCGTCGGTATACAGGTACGACGACGGCACAGCCGAGGGGGAGCATAGAAAAAGAACGGTTCCGTTGATGTACTTGACCACTGGTTTGCGCATGCCTTCCGAGATGGAACACCCAGGAACACCCCGGTGGTGTCGGGGTCACTGGGACTATGGAGAGATACAGATATGTTGGCCACAAGTTCGACCGAGACTTTCCCCCAAAAGTGCAAACCATTTTTCGGGGTTGCGGGCATACATTTTCTTACACTTTCCCCTATTGCTGCCTGCTTGAAATGCGCATCTTCTCCGGCGAGGACATCTTTCAGAAGACGTTGACAGTGACAGCGAGGTTTCAGTGCAAACGTTGAGCAATAAACCTTCGAAAAGCTAGCTGTCGGCGACACGCAAGGGTTTCAGACAAACCTGCACAATTTTTCGGGGCCCCACGCTGCTCTTTTGGACGAGGCCGCCCGCAAACCGAAAGGGCAATCACTCTACAATAAACTATTTAATCGCTCGCACAGTGAAGCACGCTCTCCGATCTTCCCACTCTTAGCGAGAACCGTATGCCTGACCTGGCGTTCCTTGTTCTTCCCGTAGACCCCCATCATGATGTCATCGGGGATGAGATCGCCGGCCTGGAGGGCGAGGTGGCTCTTTTTCAGGTCATTGAGCCCCTGTCCCACCAGGAACGCCACCGTGAAGTGCCTGGTGGGTTGAAGAGAACACAATCGGAAACAAGAACGATTTTTGCCATGTTGAGTGGACGGGTGTGTCCTTGTCTTCAGTTCCCAGGACCCTCTCCAACTGTTGGTCGAAGAAACTGAACTCGGCCTGCCCGGGACAACACGAAACACTGAGACCGAACCCGAACATGGAATGCATGCTCAAACATCTTAAATTTATTGAGGCATTGTCATGTACTTCTCGTTTGCACGCGTACAGAAGCCCAGAGCTACAGAACCGTGCGGTTGCTAGACTCGGGCCTAAACTTTTCTGCGGTAAGCGAGTTTGGAGCGTGGGCGGGTCAAGTAATGCCGACTTGAATCTCATTGGCACTTGCCGCCGTGCTTCCTAAATCTCGCCAGAATCAAACACGATGCTACAGTAGACAAATCAAGAGCAAACACAACTGCAGGAATACGCCACACCGGCGAAACCGCCGAGAACAATAGCCATCCATGCACCAAGCTAACGGGAAACAAACACGCAGAGGAAGCACATGAAGAACCACTTACTTGTCCAGCTTCGAGAAGTGCGGCAGCAAAAGCTCCAAGAACCCCTACGAGTTCAAGTCCGCACGAACATCAAAATCGGTCGGAAACGTAAGAAAAACGCGTCAGCGCGAGCCCGTCCAACGTTCACACAAGAGTACAGACGGCCACAGGGGTTGACCCAGTTGTTTGTGCCTCGCCACGCCTCGAGGACCGCACCAACGCCAGTGTGCCGGGTGCAATCGGGTTTTGATATAGCAGTCAAATATTAAAGTAACACCGTGGCTGCGATTCCACCGCTGACGTGCGGCAAATACGATAAAAAATGTTTTTCTTCTAGGTGTTCCAAGGCACCCCGGCACAAAAGCTGCCGAATAGGTTGCAGGATGCGTATTGTGTGCTCGATCGAGAGTATGCCAGATGAATGAAAAGGCCCTGACTCATTTAACACGTGAACGGCGAAGGTATTTTATCGCGCAACCCGGTGCGGTTACTACCCCGACGGGTGCCGTAACAGCGACGGGTGGATTCACTCGAATTTGTTGACGGTACGAATGTGCAAAAAAAATGGAGTACGCAGGGAGGGAGGGAGGGTTGTGCTGGGGCTCTTCTCTGAACACGCTCTGTGAAATGCTCGGGGAATATGTGTGTCCTTTTGGTCGCTGTACTCTTCTGGGAATCGCCTTCGCAAATGACGTGCCTACAGCGGTTGGGAACCAACTAAATCGCGTACAGTAACGCGGGAGACACAAACCACGGCATCAACAGGTGATACTCCCGGTGATACCGATTTGCTTTGGATGAAGACCCTCGGCAAACTCTGAAACAAGAAACACTATGGAGCACGTTGTGAATCAAGAACAGGATTCCACAAGAAATTCTTTCCTGCCAACAAACGACTCACGCGAGCACCCCAATGGCCAGAAATGGGCGCAACAGGTTTTGGTGAAACACAAGGGCATCCGATCAACCAACTCCCACGCAGCGTGTTGGAAAAGGCGAAAGTCGTACTATATGGCACAACCAAGAAAGGGAGTCACTGGCGTTGGGGTCTGTGTACAGTATGTACTTGTCTCGCTGACGAGTGTGTATTTGCGGCGTAGCCAATAGATCTATTATGATAGCAACTCGACGAGTATCGTCGCGTTGCCTGTCTGAAGCTTTCCAGTTTTTTAGCCGTTAATTAAGTCGAGGGCGCACACCGCGACACGCTCGCCCACCGAGCACGACAAAGACTTCTATACACAGAGTAGATGACACAAGATGTCACACCCCCTGAACAATTTTTAATTTTCAAAGCTCGATTACTCCACAGCAGAAATCGTGGCCGGGCGGCGTTGGCACCGATAGCTTTCCGAAACAAATCTATCGTTTGACATCCTCGTCGTCGTGAACTAACATTATTAGTTGTGAATATTGATGATGCGATATATTATGTCACCTACTACTACTGCCGGTACATGCCGTGCATAAGAACAACGAGAACCCTCCATACTCAAGTAGTAAGTTACTGTAGTAGTTGAATTGAAACCTATCATTACCCATCCATGAAGAAGTCGTTTTATACACAAATGCTTAAAAAAAAGTGCTGCAAAAACTATCCATGGACGAACCCAGCAGTGCCGTTGTTGTTTTCACAATTAACTACAAAAAAACGTTCGTTCTGTTCTCTCTACCCAGTACCTTCTTGTACCTTCTTCGTCTGTTCGTACTATTATGTATGATAGTCTGACACTTGACGCGGTCGATTCCCGCCGTGGTCACAGGCACAGGCTAACTTACCCAAAAAAGTTATACGAAAATAAAATGGACCCGAAGAAGGGTCCGCAAGTCAACGACAGATTAGTCTACGACCCTCCGCTCGCTTCAATACGCTATGCGAGGTAGTAACTATAGACTGGATTGAAGCAATATGAAAGGGGCAAACGAATGTTAGAGGCGACCTCACGCGCACCCGAAAAAAACGTCAGTCTTCGACCGGCATATCTCACTACGCCCATCCATGCGCATGCACTTTTTTGTGGCGAGGGACTCCATGCTTTCAAGAATCATCTCGTTGATCTGTTTTTTTCGTTTACATACATGTAGTGCGCACGTCACACCCGAATGAAAAGGAGACCACACCCAGAACGCGCTCTTCCGCACGCTGGGAAAGAATCCGGGACTAAATGAATGCGGACCCCAGAAGATGCGCTTTTCACAGTAGGTTTCCTCTCCGAAACGAAAGAACTGGACGGGAGAGAGGGAAAAAAGAAAAGCGAAGAGGCGTAGGACGCGTTCCCCGTCATGGACATTTCATAAGAGGCGTAGTGTGGTAGTGGCAGGAACCTCTCTCTGCGATCAGGTCAGAAGACCACCAGTCCCCGGAGCTCTTCTGTTGCACCCACCCATGGACGCAGCAGTAGCAGCGCATGTCCTGTAGTAGACAACTACTGCTGAAAATAGTGGAGACCACGAATGAATCATACCGACAGGTGGGTCGTGGGTGGGCGGGGGGCCCTAAGAAACAGTCAGACTCAGCCATTTCACATCCTCACAGTTTCTTGCGAGCAAGAACGAAGGGCGATAACAATAGAGAGACCGCCAGCGTTAGGAAACAAAGAAGAAGTAGAGGAGAGCAGAGCTAAGAAACATGTGAACAAACAAGACCCCCTTGCCGCTCTGACCCATTCCATGTACCGCAGCCAACAGCAGGGGCAGCACCCACTACCAGACATACATGCAGTAGCCGGATACATGCACGGACTGGTACGTAGTAGAAGTTTAGTCTCTTTCTCCGGCAAGAACAATAACGCCCGGGCGAACTTGAACTTGTTGTAGTCACAAGAAATAGCGTCATGATGACGTCATCCATTCTGCTTGCCATGGGAGATGCGCATCGTTACGCGAGGAAGGCGTTGACTCTTCGCATAGAATATGCTGCCGTAGACCCTATATCCCTCAAGCTCAACCACAGCTATACCCGATACTACATGGAATCGAAAAAAAAACTGTTTTCTTGGTGGCGAAGCGGACCCTCTTTATTGTGACTCTTCAACTGCTGTTCGTGGATGGCGACGACATGGCGACACAGACGGACAAAATCTAGGGTTTGACGTCGGTCTTATCCGCCGCAGAAGGTTGAAGCTCTTCTCAAAGTTGAGGAGGGGTCGTGATTTGCAATTCCCTTCGGAACCGTACTTGAGGCGCCATGAGACTTGCACTGCCGTAGCCGAGGGTATTTGTCGGCAGGGAAACATAAAAACGAAATCTTCGGCGGACCGGACCCTCTTTTTTTCAACTGACCAACTGTTGTTTGGATGGCGAGACAATTTCCGGTCTTCTTGTCCGTCACACGAGGCCAAAGCTGATGCTCAAACTCGGGGAGGGGTCATGGTTTGCGAGTCCCTACCGAACCATACTCGCTCGGGGCACCACGTCATGGACATGACAAGAAAAACATCCCCCCAACGAAAACTGCTGAAATTCATGGATGGGTGGGTGAGTGGGGGACCCCAAAACAATGAAACAGTCGCGGGGTTCGCGTTGTTCTGGGGCTCTACCGGTGAAAAACACCGTCGACGCTCTGAACCGCTGGAAGCTGTCACACAGCACTGCATGTGCGGCGAACCGTAGGGGCCATGCGCATTGCTTGACGGAAAGAGGCGGCGCCCATTGCCTCACATGCAGCAGCCGGGTACACGGGTAGTCTCTTACCCAGCAAGACGCAAAACGATTGCCGTTGACGTTCGATGTTATTGGGGACCCCACGACCCCACCGGCGAAAGGCGAGAGAGAGACAGGTAGATAAAAGAAGAGAGCGGAGAGAAGACAAGAATTCACTCTCGAGAAGACACTCACTCACTCTCGTCCCTTTGGCCCACCGCAGGCTGTCAGACATCTGTACCGAACGGCGGTATCCGAAGTGGGCTCAGCAACAACAAGCACAACAACCACAAGCCGCCGAGTTGGAACTAGACTAGAGTAGTGCGGACGTTCATCCTTCTGTGACAAAGTGAGAACAAAAAACATGACTACACGGACGAACTAGTCCGTCCGCGATAGATGTGCACCGTTGCACAGAGCAGCAGACTGTTGGTTGTCATTCCTCACTTTCTGCTGTAAAGAAGATTGTGCTGCCATCAACCTTATCGCTCAAGTTACGCCTGACTACGCAGCAGACTCAAAAATCATCAACACTCTTACTCGATGAATGCCATCCATGCATACGCCGCTTAGACTAATACGATGCATACCACCCATGCATATGCAGCAAAAGAGAGAAAACCACCCACTGCACCACGGAGTTGGAGAAGGGCCTGTTGTTGTCTGTCTCAACTGTTGTGCTGCTGTTGCTTTTCATGCATAACGACACAACAGGCGACAAAGTAAGCGACGCGCATCGCCTGCTACGCGACGCGTGCACCCCAAAGCGACAGACACGATAGCCTTCAACCTTGTCTGAAGCAATTCAGCAACAGCAGCATGGTCACTCAGAAAGAAAGAAAAAAAAGATTGTGGCCCGCAGCACGCAGGATCCTCTTTCGCTGTTCAACCGGCCGTTTCCATGGCGAAACAGACAAGGAACAGTCAAGGCCGAGTCGTGTCGGCCACAGGAAGTGGAAGCTGCTGAAACTCGGGGAGGGGTCATGGTTTGCGATTGCCTACCGAACCGTACTTGGGGCGCCACGATATTTGCACTGTAGCTCGAGATCAGCATTTGAGACCGGGTCGGGCAAGGGGTGGGGCATGCGAATAAACGTTCCACCCACCCACGGATATTGAAATATGAGACTGAAGCTAAAGCTTCAGAACTTGTCACATTATCGCTGCTCTTGGCAAGTGTCACGTTGATACGGGGAATATTTGGGAGTGATTTGGCCATGTGCAGGAGGTAAAGAAAGCATGTCTTCTATACCCTCATTTCGGATGGAAAGCGCGCAGCCCGCAAAAAACAAAACTCCTTTACAGACGCGCTACCTATAGAGCAATGCGAACAAGTTCTCACCGCGGCAGAAGCAACAACCAGTGACCGGCATAGGGAAAGCAAAAGCGACCACCACGGCAGACGGAGCTTACCCGATTGATCGGCAGTATGACCTCAAAGTCGTCGCTGAGCAGCCGCGTCTCGGGCTTGGTCATACTGATCAGGTTTCTGATCAGCCCCCCGTCATTAGCCTGTATCCACCAAGGTCATGAGAAGCGGTGTTTCCAGGCTTCAGCGCGTGAACTAAAACTTCCGCACTCAAGGCCCTCCCCCGTGCGAGAGAGTTCCTTCTTTCACCGCCGGGGGGCAGGGCGTTGGCAAGCGTGCGGCGGACGTCCATCATCCCTACGTCATCTCTTCCAGGGGTGCCAGAGCATCGTTTCGTGCCGCTCGAGCGAGAATCCTCCGCTGGTTTGTTGGCCTTCGACTCTTGTGGGAATAATTGCATCATACATCCAACTGCTGACCTCCCCGCGGTTTCGCGGGCCGAAAACAGTTCAATAACAAAAAAAAAAAACTTCTGCTGGTTGAGGGTGTTCTGATCAGAAGCAACCTCGCTTACTACCCACCATGTAGTTCTTGTTCAGCCATGTCTCCGAGTCCGGCAGCCAGAAGTGGTCCAGGAGCACCTTCTCAAACTTGACGTCGCCCCACTTCCCCTGTACCATTGGTGTCATGGGCCATAAAAGCAAAAAACCCGTTCGAGAAAAATGTCTTCAACACCAACAGTTTTGGATCTGGCTGGGAAGTTTCGCACGGCAAGAATCGAAACAAACCCGACTCTCTCAATACTCACGAATGACAAAATGAAGACAAACTGACTGAGAATCGCAACCAACAAGAGAGACCTTGAAAAGAGCGTGGGACCTCACTTCGAAACCCGCCAAGCCCCGGAAAAAAAAAAAGAAGAGGATGCGTCACGAGACACCGGTGATTGGAAGGTCGAAAATATTTCCTCTCTCGCGTCTGACTGACGGCTGATGTAGTCCAACGAAAACTGCATTGAAAAGTAGCCGGATCGGCGTTTGGACCACGCGAAGACCTGTCCGGCGCTAAACAACCAACTGAAATGAAACCCGGCGAAAACGACCATGCCTTCACGCTTCGCAGGAGTCCTCTGGATGCTGTCGTGTTGGACATGTCGGTCTCGAGGAGATGCCTCCGGCTCGCCGGGCGGCCCTTTGCCGCACTGCTGGCGGGTCATGTACGGGAAAGTGGGCAAGTCAGAGAGAGAGAGAGAGAGCCGGGTAGTGTTCACCACGAGAAGCAAATCAAAACGAGCGACAGCAGGCAGAAACTTGAGCGGCATGGTAGGATCAATAAGTCAACCCGATGAAAACAATGAAGAACCAGACGACAGCGAGGGTTGACATGACCAAGGCCAAAAATCTTGATCCACAAACACCGGCCCTCAACAAAGAGAAAAAAACGACACATAAATGGGACCCTGGTGAGGCCAAGCTGACAAAACAAACATATGCGAAACACGCTGATAAATTAGGCAGTTATTCTAACGTGGACCAGCGGAAGTGGTCTAGAGGTTAGGCGTGGCTGCCGCAAAAAGAGAGTGTTCATCCGTTGTTGAGCTGCCATCGATCATTCCATTCCACGAACCTGCCGGGCCCTCTCGATACCGAGACCTTGCTGACGCAGCTAACCCTGTACCCTTGCGTCTCCGTCGCCAGCACCCTAACCGTGTCCCTGGTGCGAGACGAACAACAAAAACGGACACACACAACGTATGCGCAGCGAACATCAGCCATGCAGATGACGTGCCCGACAAAAACGTCCCATTCCGCAAATAAGCAGTAAGAATCTCCAAACAAGGAGCTCACAGTGTGAATGAAGCACAGAGGTCTGCGCGTGTGGAGGAAGGAGAATGGCACCCCGGTCAAAAGCGTAAGGAAGGGCCACAACTTGCTCCTCCATCAAGGCCACAAAAACACTCCTAGGCGTCGTCACCTTAACGGATTCATGTTGCCCTCCGTAACTTTGTTGCGCAGCTTCTTTTCCAAGGTCTTGAAGCGCCTCACTCTCTTGGCTCGCTCGCCGAGGAACTCGGCGTCGTGTTCTTCCACGAAGGTCACTCCCAGGAACAGGGCTCTCTTCCGCTTCTCCCCGGCCTGCGTGCAGAAAGCGTTCACGGGACAACGGCCTCGTGTTCACGACCACCTCATCCCGTCCGTCGCGAGGAAATATCCAGGGGTGGCCCCACCATGCGTTCAAGGTCACACGGCACGACCTATTTGGTGCTAACGCAAATCCAGCTGTCCACATGTCGGCGATATTGCTTCGTCTGATCGCTGGTGAGTGGTACGTGCGTCTTATCATAGGTGTCTATTTCTGTTTAATGGACGGTCCTGCGCATAAAGCGAGCTCCAAACACACGGCAGAGTTAGATTGCAGCTTCCGCATGAAGAATTCCCCACGAGATTTTTATCCGCTCCAAACTGGGAGGTGTTCACACACACAAACGTACAACAAGTAGTTTTCTGTTGGTCTTTCCCGCACAAAAAATAATATCGCCAGCAAACGTGATGCACTCACTGATCATCGTGAGCTGCGTCTGCTCGTTCGTCTCACAACTGAACTCGCGGGGCGCAAAAAAGCAAATTCGACCGACACAAGCGACGAACAGCAAGGCAAAGTTTGCCCCACACACCTCGGTTCGGCGAGCCTCAGCACCCCTGCCCTCCCGCTCAGCAGCGCTGCCGCGCCGGGGGGTCCTCTTCGCTCTCCTCTTCATCACCCTGCTGCGCCGCTCGCCGCCAGAGCGTCGAACAAATTCGTCATCCTCATCCACCCTCGCCTTGTCCTCCGTCTCCTTGCCCTCCTCCTTCGCTCTCCTCTTTATCGCCCTGCTTTGCCGCTCGCCGGAACGACCGGGCAGTGTGTCGTCCTCATCCACTCTAGCGTTCTCCGTCTTCTTGCCCTCCTTATTCTTCTCATAATGTAAACGCTTCTAGAAAGCGAACGATGCGGAGCGGTGGGGCCAAAACAAGTGTGTGAGAGAAGCGGCGGAATAAATACCAGCGAAATTTGAGGCCCAAGGTGTTGCTGCCAGACACGCTTTAGTCCGTGTCCTCTATCACCAAGTGAAAATACACGATGGTCCTCAGCAACAATAGTCCCCGTGTTGGTTAGGGGCGTCGCACGTGGGGTTGATTCAAAGGGAAGGAAGGTCTCCACGGTTAGTGAGAGAGTGTCCGGAACTCAAAGGAACGACAATTAACTACCATGGGGTCGGTGGCGCTGTTCTGCACGTCGACACGCGCGCCGCGTCGGGTACGGGGCGTTCACGCCACGAACGGACGGAAACACTGATTGCAACCTGGCTTCTCAAGCTGTGCCAAGCTGTTGAACGTTGCACAACTCTAGAAACATGACGAATTCTGTGTGGTCCGGCAGGGCACACGTTGATATCTACCACATCGTCAATGTCGGTGCCCGTTAGGACACCTTCGTTCGACCCACAAGCTTTTTTACACCGCCCTTCCGCCCAAAGGCCGTGGAGATGCTACTACAGTGCAGAGGAACCCTCAGACCAGCTGACAAAATGAATCGACGAAAGTTTATGTAGCGGGGCGAGAACCGCTGCAACTAACCCGCTCCGACTTACCGGCGTGGACATCTTCGAGTGAGTTTACAGCAGTGCGCTGTGCGACCAAAGCGATGTACGTACAGAGCCTAGAGGCCCGCACAGCAGCGTGCGTATCCCGCCGGCTTCTACATTCCACGGCATCTCTTGGTCCTGAAAAACGCACACACCTTTTTGAATACCTCGGGGAGTTTGACCGCTGTTGCCTTCTTCACGACTGCTGCACAGCAGCAAACAACTATTTACATCCACGAAAAGCGGCATGTGATTTTTTTCTTGGCCGGTACATGAGGTCCTATGTAGATGACAACCGACTTGTCAATGAACACAAGAACAGCAGCGGCAAGTATGAGGGAGAGAGCGGTCACACGGCTGAGCGTTAATACCTTGTTCGCTTGCTTGGCTGCCAAGCTCGCCGTAGTGAGCTTGAACCTTTTCCTCTTGAAGACATCTACCATTCCGTCCTTCGCGTGCCGCGGGCAGAACTCCGCCATCTTGCTGCCGTCGACCCCGTACGACGGCATCGTCGTGCACCCTGCGTTGCCGCACCTCTTGGCGACGACATCCACCATGCCTGGCTTGGCGTGACGCGGACAGAACTCCCTAACCTTGGAGCCTTCCACGCCGTACGACGGTGTCGCGTCGCAGCCGCTGTGGCCGCACCTCTTGGTGGTCAAGTTCACCATGCCCGGCTTCGAGTGATGCGCGCAGAACTTGGTCTCGTCGGTCCCCTCTTCCCCGAACAGAGGCTTCGTGTTGCACCCGGGATGGTTGCACAGCTTCCTTCTCTTGCTGGCTACGACGTCCGCCATCCCAGCCTTCGAGTTGGATGCACCGAGCTTGATGGTCGGCGCGCCTTCCACCACACAAGCTGGACGCTTGCGGCCTAGCTGACCGACGTTAGCCGTATTCGCCGCCTGCGCATGTGAGCAGAACTCCGCCGTCTTGCCACCGCCCACGCCGAAAGGCAGGGTTTCGTTGTCGTCTGCATGCTGCCGCGGGCTCTGCCCTCTCCCCTCCACTACATAGGTCATTCTGTCCTTCGTAAGCTGAGGGCAGAGACCTGCCATCTTGCAACCCTCTACGCCGTACGACGGCCACTTGGTGCATCCCGGATGGCCGCACCTCTTCACATCGAGGTTCACCATCATCCCCGGATTGCCGTGACGAGAGCAGTTCTTGGAACCCTCCATACCGCACGACGGATGTTCCATGCAGCAGCCTGGACGGCCGCCGGTCTTCTTGCAGAAGTCTACCATCCCGTTTTCCGCGTGCCCAGAGCAGAATTCTGCCGCCCTAACGCGACCCCCTTCAACGCCGGACGACGCACGCTCGGCGCATCCTTGATGCCGACATGCGACCATGGTTGTTGGTCGGCGGAAGTACTTGTACTGCTGTAGTCGCCGCGTTGTAGCCGCTAGCGGAAAAAGCACGCCGCCAGAGTTGGTCCAGCGCCAGGGAAGTGGGAGTGAGACGAGGAGAGCGCTGAACTGCAACCTTGCTGGTGTCTCTCGCGGAGATGATGGAGGTCGGGTGAGCTCCCGCCCAACGGACCGCTGACTCTCAGGCAAGGCAAGACTGCTCTGCCTGCTGCTGACGATACCTGAAGCGCGGGCAAGGGGGGAACGCAATGGCTACGACATGAGGGGGGTTGATTTCAACATTTAAACTTCTCCCGTTTGTGTGGACCCCACCGGCGGGGAGCGAGAGCTACCGGCCGCTGGCGCTTGGGGTCGAGAGACAAGGAAAGAGATTGTCGGCCATATGCATACATGTGTGCGTCTTGAGTGAGTGAGCGAGGCACTACTGTAATCCGCCTACCTACAGGTTTTTGGTTGCAATGTTGGAACATGCAAGAACATGTACAGAATCAAGCGGGAGTCCCGTTCAATCATAGCACGGAAACAACGTACGCAGTAGTCACCTCGGTCGTCTCGCTCAGAACCAAGAGCGCGCTTCGATGAGGACAATTTATTGTCGTCTGCACTCGATACTTGGCCCGTAACAAATGTTGGTGGAATAGATAACGAATGCAGGTAGACCTTGTTGGCTAAAAATTTACTCACAGGCGGTCGTTCATTCATCGCGCGATTGAACGCCGGTCAGCGACGACGACGACATCCTCCATCTGCCACACACATTTATTTCGGAGCCCGTGTTCTCGACGTGGAATGATACTTTTAGGAGCAGTGGTGCAGTAAAACGCGTGATACTACACGTGTGGTTCATGTGCCGTTCATTTCCAGGCACGTCGCGTAAGTTGTCCGGCTGCGAAAACATTCGCTGCCGCCGCGCACCTAGCTCGTTGGGTGGCCCTAGAGGAGGAAGTGAAAATCCTACCGTATCTCCCGACTACCTGGCCGTCGGACTCGACTCAATAGTTCAATGAATAGTGACGAGGATGCTGTGTTTGGGGGGCACCCAGTTCACATCGTTAGACCAGCTGAACGATCATTGCCACACTCCCATGCATCCTTCGGCATTATGTATGCATACGACGAGCAGTATTAGACTACTGTTATTCCGTTTGCCATCTGGTCTGTATTCACCAAAAACAAGTGTGCGTGTAGCATGTCATCATCCCGGCACACTTCCCCCCACAGTGCCACGACATAGCGGGACTACACACTCTTCACACGCGACCCACTGTGAAATCTACGGTGTACATCAAACCTTACTACTAACGCCCTCTCCTATCATGTGGTTAATTGTGCTCGAAGGTCACAATATAACTGAAGGTGTGCCTCCTCCCGAAACTGGTATCAGAACGCGAGTCCGCACCGACGTCGTATCCATCATGTGTTTATCGACCCTGCTCGTTTCGTCCCACACCCCATGCAGAGCCACGACTAATTAATCACCATAAGGTGCACTGTATGCTACTTCCGACGAACACGGGAAACATCACCAGAAAGAATACTATGGTGGTTGGCGCACCCGGTTGCTGATTGAGGTACACAGCGCTAGACACCACCACCGGTCGGCACAAACCGAGCTATCTCCACAACAAAAAAGGCAATCTCCCAGCCGTGAAATAGCTTCGGTTCCACGGCCACGGCAACGACGCGAAAGCAAATCAAGGTTTTTTCACTCATGTCACCGCCAGTGAACCCACGCCGTTCGTCAGAACTGTGTCAGCCGGCACACGCACCATGACAGACCCCCGCACGCCTCTATCGGGAAGATCTCTGTATGTACGTGTCAAATGCCAACAACCAACAGCAAACAAGTACCGGACAAGGCCCCTAGCGACGGTTGCTCGCTCGCTAGCTGTGGATGTATTATGCCACGAAGAAGGCTGAAGTAAGCCCAGGGGGTAACAGTATGGTGCAACCCGCGATCTCCTTTTTCAGCGAGTACGTACACGTCGACCGACGTTAAAAAAAAAACTACTTACCGACCAGCACACCAGAGGGATAGTAGCAGGCACCATCCGCAGGAAAGGGAAATCGGGCCTCCTCCGCAGCTGAACAAGAAAATAATAAAACTCGACAATTTTCTCGCGAAAATTAAACGCCCGGAACCATCGTCCAAGAAACAACGCAAGAAGAAACAAATCAGTTCGAATTCCGGTATTTTGTCGCCACACCTTCCCGGAATTTTTTTGGTGCGCCTCGCCAATCGATTCCTTAGGGGCGCAATGAACCCATTTGAGCTACGAAAACAGTGGTCCTTTCTGCTTCGTTTGTTTAGATCCATGCCAAAGTCAAAGTCCGAGATCCTTGCTGAGGATACTTCGACCCCGTCCCCCTCTTTGAAGAAAAATGCGGACATCTACCGCGGGTGGCGCCAACAGAACTCACAAGTAGCGATCGCGTATCCCTTATCAAACGGCGGCGGGTTTTCTTTGTCGAGGTCCCACCCCCACACAAAAACGCCGTCGAGCTGCACCTCGAACCCTTTTTGCACGACGTGGAGAGAGTAGCCGAAGCTGACGTTCTCGTCGATGCCGTTGCTGCCCCCGCTGCTTTTCCCTTCTCTTCGTAGGCGGCGTCGGCGGATGATTCGTCCCAGCGTCGCCAGCGGGTTGGCCTTCCACAACTGCCTCTCTAGCCAGTTTCCTCTTCCGCCACTCGGGTCGAGCTTCTCGGCTTGTCTCGCAAAAGGGTTTCGCTTTTCAACGACGATGCGTCCCCCGACCGTCACCACCTGGATAGAGGGCGGCGGTAGCATGGCGGAGAGGTGAGCATCACAAGAGGCATGCGTCAACACGTCGGTAGCTTGTACTCTAGTCCAGAATACGATCGAGACGGGTCCGTGATGTATGAATAATACATGATGTAGATGCTGTTATGTAGGCCTGATTATCCTCACCAAAGTACGAAGAACAAAATCATCAACAAAAAAGATACTCGAAACACGGAAGGGCAAACACTTGGTGGACGAGCTCAAGATATAGAGCGTGTTACTGTAGAACCCTTGCTTTCTGCGTCTATTCGTTATGAGCCAAGGACAAAAACGCTATGAGCGGAGCGATGCAGCAGGACGTGCTGCACTACGCCCATCGGTGGAGATTTCTTCGTGCCCCCACGGAGGGGGCACGCGCGGCGGTCGGGTCGGGCCCACGTGTTTGTCTCAAATGCTGGCAGTGTCGCCGCCGACTTGCAGTTTTGAAAGGTTCTTGGATAGAAAGCAACAACAAACATCAGTTCCTTCACTGCGTCCACTCACCACGTCCCCCGTCTTCGTAACCTGGAGCACGATGTCGTCCCCAAAGTACGTCGGCGGTGGGATGCTGGGGCCATTCTTGGCCATCACTGCTGTTGCCTCGCTCTCGTCGCCGTTGTTGCTGCTTCTGCTGGTACAGCTCCCTCTGTCTTCGCTGTCGCTGTCGGTGGCCCTCTCACCCTCCGTTTCTCCGGACGATGAGCCGCTGCCACGGCCCGCTGTTGAGAAAACAATTGGCGAGGAAGGTGAAGGCAGTGAGTGCTTGAGGCTTCAATTTCTTCGATATAAAGCGCGTGTTTCTCTATCGAACAATAGGGTATGTATACGCCCGATCACTCACAATATTGGTAGTGCAGGCCTTTGAGCAAGTAAGGTTATTTTCCACCCTGGACCTAAATAGAACCGCGCTCGCCTCGACGGTAACAAACATGCTACGAGAGGAAAAACCCTTGCCGCGACAGCGAGCATTTTCACGAACTCCTGTGCCCTTACAAAGGTCTGGAGTGTCACGTTGAAATAGTCAACCCAACACAATCTTCGAGTTACGATCGACGGAATAAATGAGGTGCCCAGGGTGGAACGCCCCCCCCCCCTCGCCACAACCTCTAATTTTCTCCAAAAACAACGCAAGACATTTCCGGTCGTGTCACCCTCTCTTTCCGTCGCGACGAGGTCAACAACCGAAATCCACGGGACACGGGAGGGTGCGAAACAAAGGCTTCCTCAAGCAAAAACGGGTGCAAAGTATACAGAGTGTGACTGCACCTTGAGCCGTGCCCTCTGGCTGCTGCGGCGGGACCTTCTCCTCCTCGTCGTCGTCCTCGTCCTCGTTCTCCTTCTTCTCCTTGTTCACGTCCGACTTCTTCTTCCGCTCGCGAAGAAAATCTTCCAGTTTTCCATCGATCTCGGCAACACCGTCGGCTGTCTCTTCCCCCTGGTTCTCGAGCGCCTTCGGCCGCGCCGTCCGTTGCATTCTGTCGTGGATGGAGCGCATGGCCTGCGCCGGATCGGCGGCGGCCAGGACCTTGAGGTCTGCCCGAGGGTCAACACCGTCGTAGTCGGGGTTCAGGCCCGACACAAAGGTTTCCGTGTCGAATTCCCTCCAAGGTTGGTTTTCGGCGGCCTGGACCATTTCGTCGTGGAAAGCGTCGTACCGCTGCCTGCCTGAGAGCAGTAAACTGCCGTCCACCCCCATGGTCATGATGTACTCCCCGTCCAGAGTGGCCATTGACGACGGGAAGCGCAGCTCCTCTCCCACCTGTGGGACGAATCGTCAGAAAGTCGGCAACTCAATTTGCGGACAGCAAACACGAGGGGGGAGTGTCAACACATTCCTTTGGCAACCGTGGTCATGTTGAAAAACGAGTGCGGGCATACCGCGCGGAGGGGGCGCGGAGGGGGGGGGGGAGGGGGGGAGGGGGGGAATACTCATAGTCGTGCATGCCGTAGTCGTTAGACCATTGACCTCGCATCCCTACGAAGGCGGGACGGAGCACGCCGGGTTCGCACTGGACCAGGCTCTCACATCACCAAGCGCGAAGCGCCGTGAGGTATTCGGTGAGTCGCATGAAGGGTGCGCTGCATCTTGCTAAGGGGGCGCGGGGGGTGTGTGGGCAATACGTTAACTAGGCATTCAGAATCGACAGTCGCGACCATGTATCCATGGTGACGAACGTGCGAAAAATCTCCGCATACCCCACCCCGTGCGGGGTCCTGGCGCAGGTCAGTTCCCAGTTGATTTTTTTACGCGAGCTACACCGCGAGTTGTCACTAACTCCACCCCCGGGCGGGAGGTACCGTTGCCTCGTGGCCGGGGCGGAGAGCCGGATCAAGAGCTGGCTGGTTTGCGAGGCTCTATCTCTCGGCAGGTGGCAGCGACTCTGACAAGACCAAACAGAGAGCAACGAAAACAACAATATGTTCGGGAACTTTCTGTAAGGGAAATTTTCGTTCACCATCAGGTAGGACGGCCTCCATGCGAGTCGGTCGACCGTGCGCTGAGCTGATGGAGAGGACGGTGTGGTTCCCGCGCCCGCGATGCCCTGCTGATCGTCCTGGTGTTCCTGCTGCTGCTGCTGCTGCTGCTGCTGCTGCTGCTCTTGAGACTGCTGCTGCTGCCGCCGCTCTTGAGACTGCTGTTCTTGGTGCTGCTGCTCGAGCTGCTGCCGTCTACGAAGCCGCCTGAGGACGTGCAGCCGCATCCAGCGGGGGTTCTCAGCGTACGGTGTCACGACGGCCGACATGCCGGAGGCCGTGTAGCGGGCGCGGCAGTCGAAGAAAAACTCGCCCCCCGGCTGCACATGCACCAGGGTGCTGGTGTCCTCCTGTGGTTGATTTGTACAACGAGAGAGAAGCGATACCGGGGAACGTAGAGAAGGGTAAATAAGGAGGGGTATTTGCTTCGCTGTGGGTGCGGTAATTGTGGCGCAACGGACTCAGCATTCCGTGCCTGCCACAACATCGGCAGAATGCTTTGTGTGCCTGTGATAATGATCGTGCGGACGAATGCGTTTGAGCGAACGACGCTTCCCGGCCGCCATCTCGAAGTGTGCCATTGGCGACAGTGCGATTCTCTTTGCGCTTTGTCCAGGTGACAAATAACAATGAAGCAACACGAAGGGAAACGTTTCCGCTCAGGTCGTTCCCAGCGTTGCCGAGTGAAACTCAATAAAATTTTACCGAATGCGAGCAAGAAACGGGGGCTAGATTTCTTCTGACATTCAGCACCCTTCAAGCCAGATGGTTCATGTCAGCATATCCGTGTCCAACAAGAAGCAAATGATTCCACTGTAGGTAGTTCTAGGCAAGTGCGATACTAGTCGGGAATTGAAATGAAGGAAGGGACGGGAAAGGGAAGGGCAGGGGAGGGGTAATTGTCTTTTGGTCTTGTAAAGTCCCCCCGAAGTGATGTTTTGTCGTCGGAAGTCGGTGTGTATCTGTTTGGTGTCGCGTTAGTAGTTACCTATTTCGTTGTTGTAGGGGAACCGGTCTGTCTGCCGTTTTTGTTTCGTTGTCTTTCTCTCTCTCTGTTTTTTTTCTCTGCCTATTTCTTTTCTTTCTTTTTTTGCCTTTCGTTTTTTCATCCCTTTGACCGGGGTCGTCGATCGTCTATGTACCGATTATTGTTTTCCATACTGTTGATTTTTTTTTTCGGTTGGATAACAAATCGCGCCTTTGGAGGTATTTATTTATTTATTTATTTTTAAAGGTGTACCCGGGGGCTGTTGGCGTGTGACCACGGAAGGCGTCCACGTCACATGAGAAGGAAGGCATCCGCGTCACATGAGAAGGTACTGCGTGGAGACCGGAACGTTTTTTTTTCATATGAAGACAAGAACAACGACAACAACAACAACAAACCCTGCTAAATTCTCAGAGTGAGTCTCCAGAGCAAGCGAACAACGAACACCAGCAAATAAATTATCATCCACAACAGCCACCATGGCAACACAGTGACAGCACATGTGACTATGCACCTCAGATCCATCCTGGGGAACTGGGCCCTGCCCGTTGGCGTGTAGTCCCACGTATCCCTGAGGCTCCACGGTGAAAATCGCTCCGGAGCCCCCCTGCAACGCGGGAACACCAACAGCAGCATCGCCTTGCTACGTTAAATGCTAGCATTATCATTGAGAGCACCACCAGTGTCTTCATCGTTGCGACTACCATCACAAACAACAACAACAACAACAACAACAACAGTAACAACAGTAACGACAGCAACGACAGCAACAACAACAACAACAACAACAACAACAACAACAACAACAACAACAACAACAACAACAACAACAGCAGCAGCAGCAACGACAGCAACGACACAAACAGTAACGGCGACAACAGCAACAACATGAACAAGAAAAAACGGGAATTTATATTCCAAACTCGCATGTCAGGGCAAACAGCGTTGGCCGTTCAGCGGTCGGTGGGGTAGCAAGCGCTGCGCTCCCTCGCCGCCTAGAGGAACATGCTCAGTCTCGCGTACCTCTCGCTCTACGAACAAAGTCACCTCCGACAATGCATCGTGCAAATAGCTGACCTCGAGAATTTCAAAGACGAGAGGTTTTCTGCATCTGTTATTCGCCCCCCCCCCCCCCACCCCCCCCCCCCCCTACCCCCCAAAAACAACCGCCCCCCCCCCAAAAAACCCCCCCCACCCCCCCCCCCATTAAAAAAAAAAAAAAACC